GCACCAAAAGCCTATTGATCGTCCTGATTTAATTGCCGTGTTTTTGAGTTAAAGAGAAAGTGCTTGATGAAGGAGATAGAAACAATCCAAGTGTCTGGTAATAAAGTTGCACATGTTTTTACAATTGAATTCCAAAAGCGAGGCCTTCCTCATATGCATGCACTTTTATTTCTTAAGGGTCCAGACAAAATTCGGACATGTGCTCAAGTAGACAAATTGGTTTGTGCAGAATTTCCAGATCCAAAAGATGAACCTATGCTTTTTGAAACTATGAAGTGTTGTACGGTACATGGACCATGTGGTGCTCGAAATCCACAAGCACCATGTATGGAAAATGGTAAATGCACTAAGAGATACCCTCAAGCGTTCGCAGAAACAACTACTATGGATCAAGATGGATATCCTATCTATCATCGTCGCAATAATGGTCAAGCTCATATTGTGAGGGGGAAAGAAGTTGATAACAGAGACATCATACCATACAATGCATATCTTTCTAAACGTTTTAACTGTCACATAAATGTGGAAGTTTGTGCCGGAATGAGATGTGTCAAGTATATACACAAGTACATTTATAAGGGTTATGATTGTACAACGATGGTGTTGGGATTGATAAATGAGATCCAACAATATCTTAATGCGAGGTATATTGGGCCTCTAGAAGCCGCTTGGCGAATATTTGGTTATCCATTGCATGCAGAGATACCAACAGTTGTACGCTTAGCACTTTATTTATGTAAAACCCAAGTTGTGTGTAGGATTATTTTATTGGATAGATTAGTAATTAAATTAACTTATATGAGTCATTTATTAATATCAAAGAATTAGTTATGAGATGACATTATATTTCCTATTACTTAGATGGGTAATTTTGTAACTTTAAGAAATTAGGTTAATAAGCCCACCTATTGTGGCTTCAAGTCTTGGAAAACAAACAAAACAGAGGCTATGAATTGCTCCATAGGCGGCTAGGGTTTGAGAAGGTAAAAGAAAAAAAAAAAAGAAAAGAAAAAGAGAAGAGAGGCTTGTGCTGCAGAAAAGGTTTGGAAGAGTTAAAGGTGAAGGCAGCAAGCAAGGGTTTGGAAAAGTTTAAAATTAAAGAAAAGAAACCCAAACCAAGGAAGAGGGAGGATTCATAAGAGTGGTGGTTTTGCTTTATTCATCACTTAGGTAAGATTTATTTTATTGTATTCCTATCTATGATTTTAGTGTTAATATATCAATAGATGATTTTATGGGCATATATGATTAAATAGATATATTGATGTAGTCTATGTTGGGGGTCTCAATTTTGCTCAATTTTAGAGTGTATTTTGCATCCCATTTGGGTGGTTCATATTTTGAGATTGATATGTGATGGGTTAAGTTTAATGGTGGTGTATTTGTGGGATACACGATTGACTACAAGCAATTACAAATTGTTACGTGTATATAAACAACAATAGAATAATATGGATTGAGAATTTCCGAAACCGTGATGGCTTTGTTTTGATGCTAAATCGTGGGAGTTCCTAATAGACTATTGGGTTAATTTATTCTATTGTTGTTACAAGAAGAGATGGATGGGTGCACATAATAATTGTTTATGCGGTGTAATATTTTATTAGGTTTGTGAGATTGAGGTGGATCTTGGTAATTTGAGATTAGCTTGGGAAATATTATTTTAGCTGTTTGAAGGTAAGTAACCCTCTATCACTGTTGGTACATTTTTTATTCCTATTGAATCGTTTAAAATTATAAGTATTTATTTATAGCCTTCCTGTTCTCTTAAAATAAAATATGGGTCAAGTATAAAACAGCATCGAATATTATTATGAAAATTATTTGAATATTTGGTTAAACTATTCTGAAAATTGTACTAAACGTTTATTCATGAAAACTTTGAATGTTTTATTTAAAAGTTGTGTATTGTTTGAATTTTGAACATCACTCTAGTCTGACTATGATTTGGACCCTAGCCAATGGGGGTTATTTATTGGCACAGAAACTAGTTTCTTTTGGGGCTTTACCACCGGCCTATGTGTGGTTCTGGGCCTTGTCACGGGCTATGTGACCGTAGTCAGTAAGACTTGGGTTTTGTGAATCAAATCATTGAACCATCTGAATATCGAACCATCGATTTGAACAACGAATTACTTTGAATTATCTTGTTGGCTTTTCATTTAAAATGTATTGTACATTGATTATTTTTAGCTATGAAACCACCTTGCAAATAATTGTTCATTTATTGAACTGTAGAAAAAAATTATATTTATTGGTTATCGATTTATTTATTTATTTTTGTATACTTGATCCAGCTAGCAGTGATGGTTGGTTATTTACTGGGCTATCTAGCTTACTCTTATTTTTTTTCAGATTCTGAAGAGTAGAGCTGCGCGGGATCTTTTTTACATGTGAGAGTGCCGAGAGTAGGACCATGATTTAAGTACTTGGATTATTGTTTTGTTAGTGGATTAAATTAGTGGACATGGTGGACATTTTCATATGAGAACTATTTATTTTTATGGATTTTGGCATTATGACAATTAAGGATTTAATTTGAGTATTTTATTTTGTGGGTTATGTGATTGGATTCTTAGCCTTGCATGCTTACTTATATGAGTGTGCGGCGTTGTCACAGAGCTTGGGGCGTGACAATTTACCTGGAATGCACCGAGTTCTTTTTAATCCTGATGAATCATCAGAAGCAATTGTTTCTAGAGCTGGCCAACAAATGTCAACTCTTACTGGTTTTTTTGCATGTTGCGCTTCTATGGAAGAAGAATGTCCATTCACTTACCAAGAATTTCCACAACATTTTGTTTGGCTTAATTCAGAAAAGTGATGGAAACCAAGGCAGCAGGGCTATGCAATTGGTAGAATGTACTTTGCTAGCCCTAATTGTGGTGAGAGATTTTATTTGTGTTTGCTATTAACTGTTGTCAAAGGACCAAAATCATTTCAATGTTTACGCATGGTCAACAATGTTTTGCATGATACATTTAAATCAACATGTGTTGCAAGAGGACTTTTAGAAGATAATGAAGAATGGATACAATGCCTTAAAGAGGCTGCAGTTATGAAAACTGGTTATCAATTAAGGAGATTGTTTACTATTATTCTTACTCAGTGCTCTCCACTACAACCATATGCATTATGGAATCAATTTTCAATGCATATATGTGATGATCTTGCACATAAGATTCTAACATTGTTTGCCATTTCTGAACCAACTGAGGCTCAAATTGAAGACTATGGTCTATATCTTTTGAATCAAATGCTCCAAGAATTAGGAAAAAGTTTAATTGACTTCTCGCCAATGCCACAACCTTCTACAAATTGGAGTGCAGTAGTTGGTAACAGGTTGATATTCGAACATCAACAACTGCATAATGAGGCACAACAGGCAGATGCATAAATTATTATTGATCGCCTCAACAATGATCAACGAACAGCTTATGATGCAATCACTTCCTTAGTCTTTGAAAATAAAGGAACTATTTTCTTTTTGAATGGAGGTGCCGGAACAGGGAAAACGTTTTTATACAATGCGATGGCATTAAAGTGTCGCAGCCTTGGCCATATTGTTATTACTGTGGCTTCATCTGGAATTGCATCATTGTTATTGGTAGAAGGTCGTACTGCTCATTCAACATTTTCCATTCCGTTGGATGTATTGGAAAATTCAATTTGTGGATTTAGCAAGCAATCATAACAAGCAGAATTGTTTAGAGAAACAAAACTTATAATCTGGGATAAAGTTCCTATGCAGCATAGACATTGTGTTGAGGCAGTTGATTGCACACTTCGGGACACTTGTGATAGTGAAGAGCCATTTGGGGGTATCATTGTTGTTCTTGATGGAGATTTTCGACAAATCTTACCAGTTATAACCAAAGGAGTCTGTGAGCAAATTGTGAATGCATCATTAAGACACTCTTTTATATGGAAGGATATACATGTTCTGTCTTTAAATTTGAACATGCGCTTGAATCATGCAAATCTTGAAAATGCTAAATTTGCAAAATTCTTGATGGAGGTAATATTTCTTCAAACTTTTTCTCTATTATATGGTTCTTTTAAATTGACGAAATATATTTACGTTTATGTACTTTAATTGATTTTACTTACTATTTTATTTATTTATTTTTATAAATAGATTGGGACCAATCCTTAGGAAATTGTTAAACTTCCATCAACAATACACAAATGTCAAGATCTAAAAGACATAATCTCAGTAGTTTATCTGCAACTGGATGTGGCAATGACATCGACTGCAACATTTTTAACTGAACATACAATTCTTTCTGCATGGAATGATGATGTCAGTGCTATCAACGCTGCAGCATTGAATACTTTTCCCGGCAGCACACATACTTATTTGGCAGCAGACAAGATGTCTGAAGATGATGAAATTGATCGTACTATAATAAATTGATATCCTAATGAATATTTAAACTCATTAGATCCTCCTGGGCTACCGGCTTTTAAGGTCGAGTTGAAAGTGGGTTGTCTTATAATGTTGTTAAGAAATATTGCACCAAAAGATGGACTGTGTAATGGCACAAGATTGATGGTTTCTAGATGCAATACTCTCATAATTGAAGCTCAAATTTTAATTGGAGAAAAATGTGGCAATTTGGTATTAATACCAAGGATATCCTTGACACCGTCTTCTTCAGAAATTCCTTTCCGAATGACAAGACGTCAATTTCCAGTTCGATTGGCATATGCCCTGACCATTAATAAATCTCAAGGGCAATCTGTGAAATTTGTTGGAGTTGATTTGCGCACACTAGTGTTTAGTCATGGGCAATTGTATGTGGCCCTATCTAGATGCACATCCTTTGATCGTATAAGTGTCCTCCTTCCTAATGATGAGCCAGATTCTACTACAAACATTGTTTATCCTGGAATTTTGTTATAGTGTTACTTATGGATCAAACCACTTTTGTCAAAAGGTACAATTTATTTATTGATAAATTTGCTTCTATTGATTACAAATTGTTATTTTAAAAACATTTTACTATATGTGTCGACTTTTGTAGGATTGAGTTAAAAAATATATGGAGCTCAAAAATATAAATACAACTAGATTGCTTCGATGGGGATATAACAAGGTAATTTCAATTTGAAAGTGTTTTGATATATATATAAATTTTCTTTTGCTAATATACTAACTTTTTTTTTTATTTTCATAAATTAGTAGATTGTCGTGCATGCTCCTCACTGGGGATACATACAAGTTGATACGAGGACTTTTTGGAAAGTGATGAGGCGCTCCTAGGATTTCTAAGAAAGAACAAGTTTGAATCTCATATTTATTTTTGTGAAAAGCATACATATGCTAGCTACGATCCATATTTTGTAAAGTTTCCGATCGATGTGAAATTTATTACTTACAATAGTTTTGTAAAGCCTTTTATCTATGTGAAATTTATAACTAAGTTTAGATGTATGTTAGATAATATTCATTTGAATTATTGATTTATGCTATGAGTTTGTTTTTGTAAATGTAACACACTAGGTGATATATATTTTTTTTATTTTTTCTTCCTAAAATAAATAAATAAAGAAAAAATTATAAAACAATGTATATAATAAAAAAATAATTACATACACGAGGAGGTGCTACTCTTTTGTGTGAAAAAAAAAAAACACAACAAAAATTGTATACCAAGAAGATTTGTACTATTTAACAAATAATTAGCTCACTTCTCACTAAATCGTAATTTCTTTGTAAATAAATGTGAATGATAAATTGATAATTACCATGTATAAAAGAGACACGATGTATTTTAAATTCAAATACATTGTGTGCTTAATTGTTATTGCATTGGCTGGTGTGCTTAATTTGTTGTTTATTTTTTTCTATTGCATAGCATTGGCTGGCGTATTTCGTCTAATTTTTATATAGATGTTTCTGTGTTGTGAGATTTACATTTTGTTGTTTGTTTAAAATCTTAAGCTTTTGTTGTGCTTGAATTTTACGTAGCATTTATGTGTTTACTTTTCACTATTTCGTTTACCTATAAATTTAGAAAATTTATGTTCAAATTGATTTATTTACCACGTAGCGTACCATTTATTTATTTTTCATTTATTTAATTTTCTGCACAATAAACTGGCCACCAAACAATAAAAATTGGTAGATTTTAACCATTACATTAAAATTGATGCAAAACTATAGCTTTGAGATCTCTCTTCTTTACTTCAACCAAAACTCACTATCTAAAAAAATGTGGATATAGAAATTTATTTGGGTACTGTTATTGGCTAGGATAATAAAATGCTTATTTTCTATTATAAATTGCAAGTGGGTTACATAAACAAAAATACTACAATAGTAAATATTTGGTGATATGAACTTTGTTTGCATTTGTGTCATCATACTACAATACTCCAAACTCTTTTCAAAAATCTAATTATAAAATTCATTTGAAAATTCAAAGCCATACGGATCATCTATTTATATTTTCACCTCAAATTTTTTTCCCCAACAAATTAAATAAATTACATTTTAACTCAATAATTTTATATTCAATTATATTTTCATATATTAATGGCCACCATGCCTTCAGGCACGGGCATACCCTAGTATATATATAATGCAAGGGAGGTTTTTAACCTTTGTAACTCTCATCTTTTGATGATGGAGTTGATGATCATATTAGTGGCCATAAGTTTTGAACCTTTGTAATTGCATTTGATAGTCCTATTGATGTTAGCTTTCATGACTAAGGTGGTATAAATAAAGGCCCTTCCCCTTTAACTTAAAAATATAATTTCGGAGAGACTTTTAATGGAATGAGATGGTGTATTGAGATAATAAAGTTGGAGATGATTTTTATACCAAAGAAATTTTTTTCTTATCTTCTTTTGTTAGCTCATTCTTTGGTTCGTGTTAGAGAAAGAGTACTACCATTGTCAAGTTCGCCGAAACTATTCAGAAGGTGCTTCTGCATTAGTTAGTTTCAACCGTTGTATCCTGGAAGACAGACGTTGGCGTACCTCCTGCACCGATTGGGAGCCTGCGAATCTATTTTAAAGAAACTATGGTATTGCACAGGCTTCGGTTTGCATCCCTTATCTTTCGTTCTTCAAAATTTTAAATTCAAACTTTTTATTGTATATTATGTGAATCCGTCTTAAAATATGTTACACAATGCAATCTAATCCATTCCTATGTATTTAGTTTTGTAGTTTATTTTGTATTTCATTTTTTAATTAAAAAATAAATTTGTTTTGTCATTTCTATTTAATTTTATTTTATATATTTTTCTAGTATTATTGTGAAAAAAATACCTATAATCTTAAGACAGATTTTTGTAAATAGTTTTTGATAAAACAATTTTGTTTTATTATAATTTTATTCTAGTGACTCTTGGAATTAAAATTAATTTAATTATTTAGAGTTATTGGATTTGAACGGTTGATTTCTAGTAATTTATTCATTCATTTTATTTTATGTTAATAAGTCATGAGTTATTTGGTGGTTAGTTCATGAGTTACTAAGAGTTGAAAAAATAAAATGATAATTTTATTTTTTAAGGTGCTTACTAATTTATTTAATTTGTTTGTTATTTATTTATTTTCTTTTGTAATTAACTTTCTCTACAGGTTTATCTAAGCGCGAAAGGAGAATCTATATTACGGATAAACAAAATAAATTAAAACTAGTAAATTGGACTACTAATTTTTTGATTTGAACATGATTATCTTTGCGTGGAATAAAGAATAAGATTGGACTTTTAGTTTTTTTGGGACATATTTGCGAATTGAAATATTCGCTTTAATGTGGGGAATTATATATCGGATTTAGTTCGTACGTTGTAGTGCAAGTTTGTCAACAGTTTTGATTTAATTCGATTAATTAAAATTTTGAAAAAATCAGAGTGTTGGATTTCATGTTTTGAGAATTTCAAGAAATTTGTCTCGTCGAGAGCTTTCCGACGATATAAAGAATGTCACAAACGGAGTCTGAATGAACCCACACCACTGCCGAAAAGTTTGGTGGTTTTTCTTATCAAATGATGACATCATCATGGCTCAGAGATGATATTAGTGCCATGTAGTAGCCTAGTTAGCAGCCATGTCATTGACATGTGGTTGGCCAGTCATAGGCACGTCAATAAGACTTCCATGTCATCATAATTTTTCAAAAATTTCATTTTGGTTCGTAAAATTCAAGATAATTTCATTTTAACATCAAAACTTTTTAAAAATTGCATTTTGGTCCTTAAAGATTTTATTATTTGCATTCTAACCCTTATAGTTTCTAATGTTTGCAGTTTGGCCCTTAAACTTCTTTATATTTGCAGTTTGATCCTTGGAAAAGTAGAGGAGTATGTTCTTAGCTAAACAGACGATTCCGGATGCAACCATGAACTCCGATTTTGCAAATTTAAACAATTTGTAATTGTAACAGTTGCATTTTCATTTGTGGTAGTTTTAATTTCTAATTTGTAATAGTTTCACCATAGTGAAAGGAAAGAAAAAATGAAAGAAATCATAAACCTTCGGATTTAGAGGAAATCTTTAGGTTTAATTTTATTATTCCCAAAGTGTTTTGGTTTTCTATAATAGAAACCAAAGTTTAGCCTTGGCTAAAGAGTATTTCTGATTTATGTTCAAAAATGGCTATTAAGATGGATTTGGTTTCAAATCTTTGGGCTTTGATGAAATCTTTGGATTTAATTTATTTATTCCAAAGTGGTAGAAAATCAAGTTTTGAGAAAGTCTTTAGTTATAATCTGATTATTTTCAAAGTGTTTTGGTTTTGGGAAAAGAAACGAAATTTTAGCATTAGCTAAAATATTTCTTATTTTTATTTAGAAATAATGGGCTCAGTTTTGAAAGTACCAGTTAACTTTTATGAGTGGTGTAATTCTGGTAGCAATTTTTATTTGATTGAGAATTGGTTTTTTAACCTGGTTTATCCCCTGGAAACTTAACTATGAATTTGTTTTCCATTCACAATGAGTTAACAAATTCTTGAAAGTTTTGTCTAATGTTAATTGGGTTTTAAGTGTGACCATTGTGACCCCTCTAATCTTCCTAAAAACTTTCCTGACCTTGTTCGATTATGAAGTTAGTAGTGAGATTAGTTTTGAATTAAATTTCAGTTTTTGGAATTTCCTAATGTTGATTTGGTTTCTAGAGAAATAGAATAGTTGAAATTCTGTTGTAGTTTTCAGAAATGGCTTCAAAGGTGACTATAGGAAATATTATTCCACCTAACAACCTTAAGCATTGCGATGTTCTTCAAGGAAAATCAAGACAAATCAAGTGAGATTAGAGGAAATTATAAGATTGCATGATAATATCTCTGAATTAATCATAGACAATTAGTATGTTATTCTTGTGTCAATTATGGCACGTGTGACTGCTATGTGACTTCTTAAAAACAAAGATGATACAACTCGTTAGGGTGGGTGATTATATATTTTTAATTTTTAAATTCTAAATATATTTTTAAATTGGTGGCTCCTAGTGAGTGTAAGATCACTGATCACAGGAAAAAAAAAAAAAAAAAACTGGGGGTTCGTAGGAGGTGTAGACCACTGGCTACACAATTATGAGATTGTGGTTCATGGTAGTAAATAGATTACTGATTACATGTTAGAACATGATGGTTCTTAGTAGTAAAAGAGTCTACTGATCTTATGTCAAGACATGATAATTCCTAGTAATGAAAGAGTCTACTGATCCTATGTCCGGACATTGTGATTCCTAGTAATGAAGTGACTACTGATCATAAGTCAAAACATTATGATTCCTAGTAGTGAAAAATCTACTGACCACAAGTTGAGAAATTGGTGATTCCTAGTGATAAGACTACTGGCAATGTTATGAAATTCTAAATAGTAGACTATTGAATATTAGATCTGTGTTTCCTAATAGTAAGGCTATTGGCTTCAGAGTGATAGGTTAGACCAAATATGTTTTGGTGCCTTGGAAAAGACTTAATTCGATTGATGACGGTCTATGAATATGTTTTCTGTTGTATGATTTTAAGAGTCTTATAATCATTGTGACACAAGGAATTGTTTAAAGACCTTATATGAATTTTTGGAGAAGGCGGGAGCCTTCGTATAAATTCTACAAATGTGTGTTATACAAAAAATGACAATACCTAAACCCAAGTGGGTAGGATAGGCCTAAAAATCCGTTAACTTTGTGCTCAACGGTTATGCACAATATAGTAGTGCATATCGGTTTTCCTGTTGACAAATTTGATATTCAGATTTACACAAGAATACCATCATGGAATTGAGGAAACAGTTTTTATGGAGGAAAAAAATGAGCTTAGAAGATGTTATAAAAGGCTATGACTTTAAAGTTCTTCTGTCTAATCTTCTTAAACCTATATGGTGGCTAGTGAGGCTAAAAGCTTCTTTAAAGCTGTGATTTCTCTAGAAAGAAGTTATTAATTTAACTGATTTGCATAAGTAGTAAGCTTTGAGATGTAAGTGAATAAAAGTCGATGAGATAGG